ATTCAATTGAACCATCTGTTATAAAACATAACGTTCAGCCACAGATAAAATAAACTAAACTTTTTTGTGCTGCAGCTGAATGTGTTACATGCTTCTACGATGGCACATAAATCTGTCTGCAAACATGTCAGTAAATATAATCCCATCTGTTTACATTTCCTTCCCTGCAACACTTGTGAGAGGATTTCATGAGTCACTCTCAAATCCATAAAGACAATCTCTCAGGTTCATAACGCCCTGACCCTGGCTGGCCCCGTGAGACATGCAGCGCAGCACCTCAGTTAGGGAAGTCATACGTGACTGCAGGTCTCGGAGCCTGTCGAGAACATCACCTTTGATCTTTTTAATCCCTTTCAGTTTTCCGATCTTCCCTTCAATGGTGGTTGTGCAAGAGTGGCAGGTCATTCCCTCAATGCTGAGCTTCAGAACCGCAGCTTCGCTGGCCGCGGTGTCCGGCTGGGACACGCTCAGGCCTTTCTGCACTGGGCTGCCAGGAGTTTGTTTCTCCTGAGGTGAGACACCTCCCACCACCTCTCTGAGCAGCTGGACGGAGGTCAGCGAAGGAACATAGGTGACGGTCAGGCCCATGCTGGGTGCGCTCTCCTGGACGTCAAGCACCCCTTGAATTTGTGACAGCTTCTCCAAAGCTTCCTGCTGGGCTGCAGGTGTCAACCCTGATGTGGGGATCAGCTGAGTGTCTGTAAACACCAGAGTGGCAGTGCTGCTCTCTGGTACGCTGGACTCAAAGCCCATGTCCTCGACGGCCTCTGATAGGGACTCAGGGCTCTGTTGACTGGAGTCAAAAATAACCGTGGTACTCTTCTTCTCCAAAGACACCTGGAAAATAAAAAAAAGGAAGAAAAAATGTTAAACAAGGATGATGTTGTGGAGAATTATTGTTTTGACTGAGGATTAACTGATTTTTTTTTACTTCCGATACCGATACACATATCTAAGGTTTAGTATTGGCTCTTCACTAGTACAGCACACTTAAATACAACAATAGCTTCACAAGCTTGGTCAAACATGTAAAAACAACACAACATAGTTTTTTTTGATTCAGTACAATTAGTATAACAGTCATTGTAAAATAAACAATAAAGAAACTGGGTAACACTTTGTTTGAAAGGGTGTGCATAAGAGTGGCATGACACTGTCATGAACATGCAGGAGTCTTCATAAATGTTTACGACTGTTGTCATAAAGTGTCAATTGGTAACTAAAGACACTTTTAGTGCAAAGCTGCACTAAAAGTTGAATTAAAAGTCCATTAAAAGTGTTAACGTTGCATTGAAAATGTCATTATTTACCAAATGACACATCATGGCAACAGTCGTAAACAGTCATGAAAACTCCTTCATGTTCCTGACAGGTGGTGTGTCAACATGACACTGTCATGTCAGTCTGCACAAACCACTTCAAACAAAGTGTTATCAGAAAGGTAAACTGACTAAAACAATAGGTTCACTAAACTCAATAATAAACCGGTTACTTTCAAATTGTTCAGAGGGTACATAATAGCATGACATCACTCAGAGCTCAAAGATTAGACGTAGACTGAATAGATCTGCCCTTATGGATCGGCCACATTGTCGCGATACCTGATCTTTTAAATATTGAGGCCGATACATTTATTAATATTGGATCCGTGCATTTCGGATATCAACATTTTCCCATATAGGCAGAGATATCATTCTAATCCTGGCTGCAATTAGTTTATTTTACAATAAAACATTAAGATTAACGCCTTAATCCTCTTGGGTTTTACTGGTTTTGACTGACTTTGTTCACCGATTTTCATAAACAGAGGAAACCCTGTTGAGGCTTCAAAAGGCTGGAGGCGGAGGTGGAGGTTCCTCTTCATGCAGAGCAGCAGCCCCACACCACAACTACAAACAAGTGACTTAGAGCATATTCACGAATAGCTCAAACAAAGCCTCGATCTAGATCCAATAGAGAACCTGTAGCAAGATTTGAAAATTGCTGTACAGACACACTCTCCATCCAATCTGACTGAGTGGGAGCAATTTATGAATGAAGAAAGAATTAGGTCTACAAAGCTGAAAGCAAAAAACACCAGAAGTTATGCAACTACTGTCACACAGAAGAGCCCTCTTTTTACTAAGATTTCACACAACCTACAGATGTTCAGTGACTTCATTTATCAATTATGTCTTCTTTTTTTAGTTTACCAATTGGTATATACTGCACTGTGTTTTAATTAGCTCTGATATGACATGTAAGTAAATGTTCAATTACAAACTGGATTACTTTGTCTTGTAAAGTGCACTGTGATTGTAAATTGGCGCTATATACAGAACTGTTTTGCGATGGTTACTAGGGAATAATTGCAGTCTCGAGATTTCCAAAGCAGTAGGAAAACATTCCCCCCAAAAAATCTGCTGCTGCAACTGGGGTAGCAACTTATTCAACAACGATTTGACTCACAGGGGGCTCAATAGAGATGTCTGCCACACTTTTAAGATTTCTGCTTACAAAACAGTATGAAAACCAAAATTCCTTCCACTTAATTATGGAGTCACCACTACGTGTTGGCATACTACATAAAATACCAATTAAAGCATCTAGACATTTGCGTTCGCAACACAGGAAACAGTGGCTGTGTATGCGCTTATTAAGGCAACTTAACACTGAAGTTAGTACATTGATCGTTTACATAATATTGTTATATGGCCATATTAAGTCACTGCAGCTCTAATTTAATGGCATTTTACAGCCTTTGTTCACGGCCTTTGGTAAACGTCTGGCATGTTCAGTCAGCATGATGACCCTAAGGTCGCCTTCTTAAGCAAGAAGGAGACATGTGATGCTCAGAAGGCGTCACCTGATTCAACCATAAGTAAAAAAAAAAAAGGAAGCAGTTTCCAGCTGCTTTAGTAGTAACTTTTTCTTAAAATTAGGGAACAAAGAAAAATACACATTGTTCTTCCAAGAGAAAAATGAAAGACAATTCACTTTGCTCAGATCACTTATAAACATATAATCCCGGCACTAAATTCTGTTACCCACAATAATTTCCTGTGGGGGCAGAGGATATATCGACCTGTTGTCGCAGTCCTGCAAAGGGCAGGGAATTATTGGGAACACGGTATTACATTATCTTCTCATTCAGCCTTAGCCTGAGGGGTTAACATACAATAAACAAAACAGCAGACCACCACTACTTCAATTAAACTGTCTAATATGGCTGGATGGAAATCAGACAAGCTGCTCCCTAAACAGAGCTGTACCAAACGATCCAGTTCTACCATGAAGAGAATAAAACCCATATAAATTTATATCTAAATTAACAAGAAGATTCTCTGCTCAAGAGTTACATAGTCAAGACATTAAAAGACCAATCTTGTTTTTGCAGTGGAAATAAATGCAGAACTCATCAAATTTAAAGGTCAGCGAGTCACGATGGAGCATAAAATGCAGAACAACAGAAAGTATAAAATCAGCCGTTACCTTTATATGTATCACTCCATGCAGAGACCCAATCCGCTGCTCTATGGACTGAACACAAGAGCCACAGGTCATTCCCTCAACTCTGAGGGAAACCGAGCACAGGTTTATCTTTTGCGTCATGACTGCTTTACCTAAAAGCACAGAAGGAGAGGAAAGATTTAAATGTCAAAACAAGAATACACCAGAAAAAAAAAGAAAAAAAAAGAAAAGGTAGAGCTGAGGAGATTGTTTTCTCAAGATGAGAGATAAAACCAGGACATTGCAAGACTATGACGGTCTTGTTGGAGTTCTACTAAAAGGTCAAAAAGAATAAGCCTCTCTATATGTAAAAAAAAAAAATGCAAAAAGTCTAAAAAAAAAAAAAAAAAAAAACATAAACCAATCTGGGATACTGATGATGTTTGCTGAAGTTTACCAATTGTTCATTATTAGTGAATTATATAGTTCCATTTTCATTTCTGTTGTATATTTTTTTTGTTATTATGCAACTTTAACAAATGTTAAAATCTTATCCACTATATTACTTGTACTTGCCATTATTTTAGATTTCATTGCAAACATTTTGAATGTTTTACACTAAAATAAATAAAGCATAAGATGAATAAAGTATCTATCTATCTATCTATCTATCTATCTATCTATCTATCTATCTATCTATCTATCTATCTTAAGGTATTTGTTGGTTTTTTCTATTTATTTTCTGTGTTGCATTTTATTAGTTCCTCAACCTATCTAATTCGTAAATTAATTTGACTGAAAAAATAAATTCAGAAAGAAATAGATATAATTTCCATCTTTTCATTGCAAATGATCTCTATAAAAGCAAACATCTCTCTCTCTCTCTCCAAAGGTCCTAGCTTGCTGTCAGAATACCGGTTCCTTTATTATGAGTTTATCTAAAATATTGTGTTTACATGGTTTAGAACTGTTTTTTCTACATTACTGCAAATCTACTGAGATTTCTTAAAGCCAATCATGTGGACAGTAGATCTTTTTAGGCTTAACTAAAGTGCAATTAGCATATAGAACCACTTCTAAGAACTGAGACACAAGACTTGAATTTTCACCTCAAGGAACGAGGACGAACAAATCAAATATGAACTGTGTTGACGTTTTGCTTTCGTCAACAGGTCGTTTCTACAATAAAAATGCATGCTCTTTTCTAGATCCAGCGTATAAGCCTAATTTATCTAAATTTAAAATAATACTAAACATGCCTGGCTAAGCAAACCAGGAGCTGCATTTACAGCAATAGTTACTAAACCGATTATTTGTCACTTCGTTTCACCAGCAGGAACACAACACAAAATATATTAAGTCAACTTGAGCTTTAGCAAGAGATCCGCAGCTATGTGTAGACAAATACGCCGCTAACAGAAGCGATTTTATAAACTCTTACCTTCAGTAGAGAAAAAGAAAGGTTAGCTACAGGCTACACAGTGTTGACTGTCAGGCTGAGAAGCTAAGCTAACAAGCTAACAGCCTCTTCCCAGCTTTGGTTACAGTGAACCAAGTAGACCCGTCTGGACATGGTGTCGGAAGTGAGGAACTACTGATACTGATAAACTGAGAGTTTCCTTTTCCTTGCTTTCATAAAAACTCTTCTGTTTTTGGTTCCTTCAACTCAAGCAGACGTGACTGATCACTAGGCTTCACTGCGTCATCCCGAGGGGCGGAACTCCGAAGCAGACATTCAGTCGTTACGGGTTAATTTTGCCCTCAGTTCGTTCTTAAGGCTGATACTCGTATAGAGGCATTCTATTAGAACCCTAAATTATTTGGGGTATAGCTTAACAATGAATAATCTGATAATCTTCATCGATTTTTACGTTATTTTATATCGAAAGAATTATAATATAGGCTATAATAGATATTAGTAAAATGAGTGTTTCAGCAATACTTTTGTTATAACTTCTATATAAACAGATATAATAAAACAGCAGCTATAATAACACATTAACACGGCGTTAGCATTTTTTTATTTTATTTAGTTTTTTTCCGAGCCGCCTTTAAACATGAGTGCTACGACCCTCGCGCCGGTCTTGTGAGAAATGTATTTATTTATTTATTTATTTATTTATTTATTTATTTATTTATTTATTTATTTAAATACATTTATCTAAATTTATAAATAAATAAATAAATAAATAAATAAATAAATAAATAAATAAATAAATAAATATGTCTATGTTCAGCTACGTAGACTAATTTTGCCCCCCAAAATAAGTCGATGCCCCCCTGTTTAGTAAAACTCGTCTGGAGCCGGGGCTGGTCCGTAGTTCTCTAGATAAGCGCTGAACAAGCAGTCGTGTATTTTGCCACCTGGGCGGTGAAGAGACGCTGAGGGAACCGTATCTGATGGGGAAACAGTAACACCAGCATTATGAGTAGTTTCTTCTTCTTATGTGGATTGTAGGAAACAGCTATGTTTTGGAGCTGGGGATTCTCTGGAAGAAAAGATCCGTTTTCTCTGTTTACACGACAACGGAAAACGGTACGTTTCAGCAACATCGCACTCTGGAACCCGTTTTCAATCTGTGCTGTTGTCAGAGAAAACTTTCAGTGGTTTCGTGTAAATTCACACTACAAACGCAACAAAACTCTTCCGTTTCCCCCGAAATCGTTGTCGTGTAAACGGGGCCTCGTAACATACAGGGAAGGAGCACCATGTTTCTACTCCCACCTGTTTAAGAATTTGTTTTACATTTCTCGCGCTGACATTCAGAGTATAATATGACAAAGTCCGAATTTTGGTTGAGTGCTTTGTGTTTGATAAGGTTTTTCCTCGTTCAGGGCTTTGTGATTCCATGTCCGTGAAAAGCGCTTTCCATGTAAACTTCTCGTTATTCCTGATGAATTGTATACAGCAAGGGCTTCCGTCTGTGTCCTCTGTTGCCGTTTTTTCAGCAATTAACTGTTTAATTCCTTAATGTAAAAAAATGTAAAGAGCTGTGTAGATTGCTACTTCATTTTTATGACAAGTGAAACTGAGAGAGACAGTATTGTTACTGTGTCATAACAATTGTTTGTACTGTACTATTTTAATAATTAATTTACCAGTTTCCTCGAGAAAAACAATTTTAAATATATGTTGGAGAACTATTTGACAACTCTACAGATCTTGTCAAATAATCTTATGATCTTTTCTCTTTATAAACTGGACTTCCCTTTTGATTTGTTTTCAGTATGGACTGGAAGAGAACATTTTTATTTTACTCATCCCGTTGAACCTGCACCTCTCTACCTCCCAACAACCCCAGCAATGCTGAGCATGCAGCAATAGTGAATGTGGATGCTTGCTTTGTGGCGCAATGTCAAAATATTATACTGAAGTTTTCAATCTTCATTCGTTGTTTTTATATATCCCTGGAAAATAAATTACATACTTAACAGTCAAACATTAAACATAATAATAATAATATGCTCAGAAAAAGTAGGACATCCTTCATCGGCCTAAGGAAAGCTTGGTTAACAGATTTCAGCTGTGAGATATTGTTGGTGGTTTTCCCCACAGTGCCTAAAAAAGTATTCACCCTAACCCTTTTTATTGCTTTTACAAATCAATCATTGGTCAACAATATTTGATTTTAAGACTAAAATAATTATGAGAAACTCTTTAATGTTAAAGTGAAAAAACGAGTTCCACAAAATAATGACAAATAAAAAAACACTAAATAAGTCATTAGCATAGACCAGTATTTTGCTTGCCCTCATGTCCATCTGGGAAACTTTGGTCCACTGTGAGCAAAATTTATAGCCAAGATTCACTCCTGGGAAATCCTGAAGGTGACAGAATAGCCACATATGTCCTTCTTGCACACAGTCTGATACTTGTTTACAAGATCGCACACACACACACGCACGCACGCACGCACGCACGCACGCACGCACGCACACACACACACACACACACACGTGCGCACGCACGGACACATGCACACAAGTGTCCACACTCTGACACACTGACCTACTTTCTCATCTCCACAGATGAGAAAGATTTGAAAGTACTTTCTACTTTCAAATCTACGTGCACTCATTCAAACAGAGCGACCATGCCGACTGACAGGAACTAATCAACCAAACAAGGGGCTGGGCTGACTGTCTTCTGTGGAAACAAACCCAAACTTGTTGATTTCCCACATATATTCAGCTCCTGTGCACACAGCAGTGCAGAGATGCTCTTGCTCTTTTTATGCAAAAGGGCTCCTGCAAGGAAAAGGTCCTGTTCTAACTACTAGCTTGTCCTCCGCAGGCCCACTTTGTCTCCACTCTGACAGTCGTGTTTGTGAACTCCAAGTCCCTGTCGTCCATCAAGATCGATGACACCCCGGTGGATGACCCATCTCTGAAGGTGTTGGTGGCCAACAACAGTGACACCCTGAAGCTTCTGAAGATGAGCAGCTGTCCTCATGTCTCCCCAGCAGGTTGTTATATGACTATACGACTGAAGTAATGATGTAGTCTACAGTGCCATTTTCCCCCATTTGGTCACCTTGCAAACACAAATATTAATTAGTTTTATTGAGATTTAATGTGATAGGCCTGCGTAAGATGATGCATAATTGTGAACTTGAAGGAATGTAGTAAATATTTCAAATGTTTTTACAAATAAAAATCTAAGAAATAGGGCATGGATTTGTATTAAACCATTGGGAGTCAATATTTTACAAAAAAAACATTTTACTTTTCCAGTTTAGAGACTGAACATTAGCTTCAACTAAATTAAACAGGGAATGTCTCTTGACATCAATTTTTATGTGAACAGCCTTGCAGCCAAGGGTAAAGGTTGGGCAGTCCATCCAAACGTTATTGACATTGAGATGTCATCTCTTTTCTCTCTTCAGGTATTTTGTGTGTGGCAGATCAGTGTCATGGCCTCCAGGAACTGGCGCTGAACTACCATCTCCTCAGTGATGAGCTCCTGCTTGCCTTGTCCTCTGAAAAGC